TGCTGGCTGTAATAAGAATTTAAGTAATCATTTTTTTGCATTTTTACTCTTTTAATAGATAAACATCCAGTAGTTCTCAGATCTTGGTTTTGACTCTGTTATATGCATATTTAATTCTCATTCTCCTGAGAGGCTTTAAAAATGGTTCTGGTTGTGTCTTTAGATTCGTCTGGAAGGGTTAAACTTTTTGAAGTGTAATATGAAACTTTATACCTTTGTTGACTTAAATTTCTAAGAATTGTATGTTTATGAGAACCACATTTGTAACATAAAATTCTGAGGTGATATTTTGTTTATGATCTAATAAATAAAGCTTGCCTGAAGATCAGAGTACAAAGCTAGCCATACTAGTTAGCCTTAGAAACCAGGCAGTGGTGGCACACACCTTTAATCCCAGTACTCAGGAGACAGAGGCAGATGGATCTCTGTTAGTTCAAGGCCACCTAGGGCTACACAAAATTGATCCATTCTAAAAGAGAAACAACTCGTCCAAAGTTAATCCCAGTACTAAGGAGGTGGAGACAGGAAGGGGTATGGCTGGACAGAGAGAGGAATATAAAGCTGTAGGAGACAGGAGCTCTGTGCAGCCTGAGGATTTGTAGACAGATGCAGTCTGAAATCAGCTGTCTGTGCAGTAATCTGAAGCAGGCAGTCTGAGGACGCAGTTGTCCCTTTGGTAAGAGCATTGGTGGAGGTAAGAATTCTCTAGTGGCTGGCTGCTCTGCTTCTCTGATCTTTCAGCTTTCACCTCCTGATAGCTGACTCTGAGTTTTTATTATTAAGACTGAAGAGAGAGTTCATGCTACAAGACTCAGTTTTATCCTGCTGGAAAACAACCTGCTTATGCAGGGCATTGGAAAGGAGTATACAGTGTGACTTAATACAATGTAGAATTGTAGCTGAATTAAGACTTCCAAGGTTCTAAGAGAACTTTGAGGTTAAGATTAATAATTGCAAAATGCTAAATAAAGATTTTAATAGATTATCTAAAGTAGAGACATTATATATAGACCATGTGTTAAGGAAAAGGTCAAGGAATAGGAGCAAAGAAATTCTGGGTGATTGATATGAACAGTTACAGGATTGGAATTCCACTTTGATGGAAACAGTTCACTTCTGTTCTTTGTTTTATTTTCTTTTAATTAACTAGGCTTTTTTGAGAAAGTGTCTCACTATATAGCTTTTGCTGTCCTGGATTATTATTCTTCTTCTTCTTCTTCTTCTTCTTCTTCTTCTTCTTCTTCTTCTTCTTCTTCTTCTTCTTCTTCTTCTTCTTCTTCTTCTTCTTCTTCTTCTTCTTCTTCTTCTTCTTCTTCTTCTTCTTCTTCTTCTTCTTCTTCTTCTTCTTCTTCTTCTTCTTCTTCTTCTTCTTCTTCTTCTTCTTCTTCTTCTTCTTCTTCTTCTTCTTCTTCTTCTTCTTCTTCTTCTTCTTCTTCTTCTTCTTCTTCTTCTTCTTCTTCTTCTTCTTCTTCCTCTTCTTCCTCTTCTTCCTCTTCTTCCTCTTCCTCCTCTTCCTCCTCTTCCTCCTCTTCCTCCTCTTCCTCCTCCTCCTCCTCCTCCTCCTCCTCCTCCTCCTCCTCCTCCTCTTCCTCCTCTTCCTCTTCCTCCTCTCTCTCTCTCTCTCGCTCTCTCTCTCTCGCTCTCTCTCTCGCTCTGTCTCTCTCTCTGTCAGGAAAAGAAGGAACTTTCTAAATATAACTAACAGTTTGCACCTAGAGTACTGTTTACGAAAATTTAGTATCAACATTAGTTGCCTCTCTGGAACTGTTAGAAGGTGTTGTGAGACAGGCTACCAGTGATGGATAGCCTAGTGGGTACCAGGATCAGAAATCAGAATGCCTCCTTGTAAACAAGTTGAACCAGTTGCTAGGAAACACAGATGTTGACCTAATGTTTTCTTCCTTTACTTCTAGAAGTTTAAAGGATTTAAAAATTGATAGTGAAACATTGTATGTTGAATTCTAAATATAGACGATAATCCTTATGCTTCTGATCTTTTAAAAATTCAAGATAAGAGGCAGGAACAATGATTTAGTGGTTAGGAGAGTACACTAATCTTCTAGAGACCCTGAGTTTGGTTCCCAGTACCCATTTGGGTTGCTTACAGCCTTTTGTAACTCCAGCTCCAGAGGAGACACATACATACACTTGTGCATACAACTAATTACAAAATAAAATAAATTAAGAAAGTTTCCAGTGTGGTGGTGTATTCTTTTAATCCCAGCATTTGGGAGGAAGAGGCAGGAAGATCTCAGTTCAAGGCCAGCTTGGTCTACAAGGAGAATGCCAGGACTATTACACAGAAAAACCCTGTCTTGAAAAACGAAACAAAAAAAATAAACAAGCAAAAAAAATTATACACATTTTATTAAGTGGATCAAAGTTTAACATTATTATTAACTTAAAATCTGTCTACTTGTTTTCAATTAGATTAAGATTTTTTTCAGAAGGATTCTTTAAAATAGATAAGGGATATAGATAAATAAGGCAAGTGGCAATATTTTTGCATCCTATTGTTTCTGAAGTGATCAAGTATATTCTCATCTGTATGTCAGTAAGGGACTTTGTAAAAACATGATAATAATAATAATGTTTTTCTCAATAGGCATGAGTATCTTGAGGAAGATCTTATTAGCTACACAAATTGTTTCTTATTTAATAGCATGAATGCATCCTATCCATGTTAGGAATGGTATTGAGGTTTTAATATGGGTTACTTACTTTGGCCATAGTAATTTTTTTTAAACTGGACTTAAATTTTTAGTGACTTATTTTCACAACAAAATTGAGCATAGTCATTTTCTTATCTTGACTTGTCATCATGATGCTGTTTGTTGAAAGGAACCCGATTTTTTTCTGTCAGTCTTAGTGAATTTACACAGTATCTTTTACCAATCATTTTTTTAAGATGTTAACATTTGTACTGAGAGCATAACTTGTATAATTTTTGTTAGGGCGTCTCCAAGTAACTGCCTGAAGTAGAACAAAGCAACTGGCTTCACCATCACATTAATAGAAAGGAAGCATGTTGAAATCTTTTTCATGTCCTAGGAATAGTATGTATGTGTCTTGTGATTTGTTATTCTGTTTTTACTGCTTTAAGGTTGCAAACTTACATATTTCGTATTTCAGCAGTTCAAACATGATGAGCATTTCACATTTCTTATTTTGAAAACTTGGCATTACTGATGTTAATTGTACTTATTACAAATATGCATGCTAGTGTGTGTGTGTGCGTGTATAAATTTTGGACCTCAAGAAGACATTAGCTTCCTTAGACAGCATTGATGTAGTAGTTGTTGTTTGTTATTTAAAGTGACTTCTGTTTTGATTGATGCTGGGCTGCTTACAAATCCAAAAGTATACATATAGCATAGTTGATATGTACATATAGGAGTAAGCATAGAAATCTTATAATATCTAAGTTCTGACTTAAAAATTTTTCTTCCCTGTTGCTCTCCATTGTTAAAATGATCTAGTATCTCAGCTGGTACTTTATGCTTTGGGGAAGAGGAGTATTTGTCTTAGTTTGAGCTATTGCAAAAGACCTCAAGACCATAAAATTTACTGTAAATTTAGTTGTGTCATATCAGTATTATGGAAACAGCATTTTGGTATACCTTGTACTTTCAGAAAAGTTCTAACAATAAGATTGGGTTTGACATTAAAGAAAAAAATTTTATAGGCTGCATTTTAATGCATCTTGCAGTGTAAAGCCTAGGTGATAGTAGTAGCTTTGACATGTAATGTGTTATTTTGGTATATTTTATAGTTTGGGGAGGGTGTAGCTGATACTTTTCAAAACTATTAAGGGAAGCTTCTTATAGAAAACTAAACATTGAGTGGCTATCATCATATATGAAGGAATCCTCTGTCTTCATCTCTTACACTCATTAATTTAATATAGAGAGTCTTGTTTTTATTCAACTCTCATTTCTTACCTCTACACCTTTCCCCAGTGGTGTAGAAGGGGAACCCCAGATGTTATGTAATTTTACTGATATTTCAGTCCCTTCCTCTCCCAGTTTTGGGGCACAGACTCAAGACCACCTACAGGATGGGCAAGCTTTCTTATGAATGAGCTATATCCTTAGCTCCTCAATGTGTATCTCATAGAGAACAGAAATTATTTGTATTCCCCATGAGTACAAATTAGCTTTGTTATAGAGAAGTTCAAGAGTGCTTGGAAACACACTTGTCACTTCAGCTTATTGTTGTTATGCATTTAGAAAGATGAATTTATATCACTTGGACATTTGATAATCACAGCGATTCTCAAAGGGGATGTTGATTTTATAAATATATCTAGTTACACATGAATTTCCTTTAGTGTGTATGAGACATCTGACAGTTTGCATTGTCAGTAGTACCTGCCCCTCCCTCCAGAATTGTTTGTTTAAATACTGAGAGACAAGCAACATGTAATAGTAATATGTAGTGTTCTGTTATCCTATGAGTCATTAATCAAAGAGAGGTGAGGGGAAATAATAGGGAGGTAGGAGAAAGAACAAAAATGAAAGAAGGAATATGGAATGAAGAGTGATGATAAGAGTAAACATGGCAGCAGAGGGATGCTACACACTCTCACTTTCTGATGGGACTGCCTATTCTTGGCATTAACTAAACCTAGTTTTACGGCTAGGATCAGAATGATTGTTGATTCTTTTTTCACTGGGTGTTTTTGTTTTTTTTTATGTTCGAAGGTTGTGAGATAAAAATTAGAAATGAAAATATTTTAGAACTAATTGTGCTTGTATTTGCTTTTACACAAATATTTAGGGTTGTTTATGTAAACTAATTCAAATAGTTGAGTACTTTTTATGGGCTGAGTTGAATTGTTTGCTCTGGGTAGATTATACATTATAGAAAACATAAACTTTGTACAAACTTTGACTTCAGATGCTTTTACTGGAAAATTGTAAAATGTTTTTTCTTTGTGTGTTCTTTCTTACTGCCCCTTTCCCGGATGAAACTGATTCTATTTAAATTGGACTCTGCAGTTCACAAGATTCCTTTGCAACTCACCATTGGAGGTAAGAGATTGCTCTCAGATCTTCATGTTAGTGCCACCAGCAGAGTAGCTCTGCTTAGTCTTTCCTCAGGCATTTGTCTGATAATTTATTAGTGATTATTCTAAAGCAATACATTTTTCACTAATAGTAATGGTATGAACACAACCATTTTTTTTTGGTAACAGCTATTCATCTTTGCAAGTAGTCACTGCTCCTTTAGGTACTTTCTTTCTCAGTAGGTAGAGAGGAGTTAGCCCTAGATTGTGTCTCTGTGACCCTTGTGTTGCTTCATCCCTGCTTACATCACTGTCATGCTTCAGCAGCCTGGATAGGCAAAAGCTGTCATCAAGGAGGGTTCACCTGGATAAGAGACCTCAGGAGCAGAAGACCTGCTTGGCATTTTCGATAAAGCATTGTTCTTGGTGCCCCCTTTACTTCTCATTTAGTCTTCATCCTGTTCTCATTTGGACCTCAGTCAGGGATAAAGTGTGGGGTTAAAAACAGTTAACTAAATGTCCAGAGAACCGGAATCATGTGAGCTGTGGTGGTAGAAAACCATGTAGATGGTTGTGGAGAGCGGAAAAAGCTGAGCACTGTGAATAGAGGCTGGACTTGAAGCCAAGCTGGTGTTTAAGATGTCTCTTTACTTACCTAGCCACATGATAGTAACAGTCAAAACTTTTCTGAGCCACCCTTTCGGATGAGGCAAAAGATTTGTGAACACACTTGTGCTGTTCAAATCCTATAAGATTTTGTATTCTTCTTTTAAGCTGGACTGCCCTTTATGCTCCAATCTTAGTTTTTTATTTTGTTTTGTCCTTTGGCTTATCCTTGTCTTTTTCTTTGCTTCTTTTGTTTGTTTTACTTTAAGAGTCCCCCACTTTCTTGGTTCCCAGCCTCAGATCATTCTCCTTTTTAGAGTTGAACCACTGCCTTTTATTTTAGACAGGGTTTCTCTGTGTAGCAGCTCTGGCTGTCGTGGAACTCCCATTGTAGACTAGACCAGGCTGGCCTCGAACTTGCAGAAATCCACCTGCCTTTGCCTCCTGAATCCTGGGATTATAGGTGTGCACCACCATACCTGGCCATAGCCTTATATTCTTTTATGAGACCGTCTCTGGTCTCCTTAGACATTAAGAATTGTTCCATTTTAAATAGTTTTATAATGTTGTTTTCATTTGATTATTGAAACTACTCTTAATAATGAGTGGTGGCCCATCACTAGTGTGAATCATTAGTAGGGGAAATGGACCAGACCAGAGAAGTCTTAAAATGGAGGCAAAGTATATCAGTGGAAGGATGCTGTGCTGTGGGTTGAGAGGGACATGGGTGGCCAATGGGCAACTCATTTAGTCCTGGACTGCAGCTTTGAAATCTGAAATGGAAGTAATACTTACAAGGTTATTATAATTAAATGAAGTGATTTGTGGCCAACACTGAGCATAGTACAGGAAATTTTAAATAATAAAGTAGAAATCAAAAAACAATAACAAGAAACTTGGAGACATTATGCATCTTATTATCTGCTGAAGTTGAAGAAGTGCTTTTTGACCATCAGACAGAAAAGGCTAGAAAATTTTGTTTGGCTATTTGAAGAGACGTAATTTTGTACATGAAGACAAATATAGTTAAAGGTAATTCAGGGCCTAGAAAGATGACTCACTTGCTGTTCTTAAAGAGAATCTGGGTTTGTTTCCTAGGTTTTGCATGGTGGCTCACAAATTTATAATTCCATTTCCAGAGGATCCAATACCCTTTTCTTTCCTCTCTGGGCAACAAGCATGCATGAAGTACATATACATACATACATACATACATACATACATACCACTCATACACATAAAAATGAATCAATCTTTGAAAACTAAGGCAGTTTGGAGAAAGTAATAAAAGGGTTATTTAATATATTAAATCTTTTTGAATTGATACAGTATCTTTGCCATTTCTTTTGCACAAAATTATGTTAAATGCTATAAGTAGTTGATAAAATAGTGCAAGTGACACATGATGATGTAATTGTGTATTATTAATGTTAGAAATGCAGTTTAAAACACTAAAGTTGCGTAAAAAATTGCTTCCATGTGGAGGGTGTTAGTAAGGAGGCTAGAGTTGGAGGTTTACATCACTGGTCAAGTAACATTTAGGTCAGTGGTTCTCGACTTCCCGCATGTTGTGACCCTTTCATAAAGTTCCTCATGTTGTGGTGACCCCCAGCTGTAAAATTATTCACTTGATACCTTATAACTAATTTTGCTAATGTTATGAATTAAAATGTAAGTATTTGATATGTAGGATATCTGATATGTAACCCCTGTGAAAGGGCCAGTCAACCCTCAAAGGGATCACAACCCACAGGTTGAGAACCACTGATTTATGAATATATTTCTCTTAACTGTAAGTTCAGGGAGAAGAGGACCTTGTTTTCCTCATGTTCCTATTGTTAATGTAGTAAATTGTACATAGTAGGAACAGCCTTAATAAATATTTGTTGGGTGGGTGGGCTGGTAGATGAATGGATGAAGAGATTACTGAATAAGCTTGGTGGTGCTGAGGCTAGGTGTAGTGGTCTTTCAATCATAATTTGACAGGACTCAACCAACAGCAAATAAAGTTTACTGTTTGTATTTTAATATGCTTGACCATCTTCCTAGCTTGATTGAACCTACTTAAGATTGAAAGCTTTGTTTTTTTCACCTTTGAATGCTATCAGTTGTAGAAAGGACTTGGAGTTTACTAACTACTACAGTTAAGTGAGGTGCCGAGTGTATGGGATCTGTAGTCTTTGATGAAAAGTATAAAGGAATAATATCACGATCAGATTTGAGCAATTGTCATTTTGTTTTCTTTCTTCACTCAGTTATTTGAAGTTGGCTTGATTTTTTTATTAGTAGGCTTTTTGATATATAGGAAGAAGACAAAATAATTACAGATGATTATCTTCCCCCTTCCCCTTCTCTGGTAGGAAATACTGTGAGAGTTTCTGTTGGTATTTCTTTAACTTGGAATTCCACAATGCTGCCTGATGGTTTGCTGAATGGCAGCCATCCCCAAATCTCCTTCAGTAGCTCTGAGCTCAGTCAGTTCCATCTCACTACACATTGCCTGAATGGGAAAGCAGAGACAAGGCAGGAGAATGCTGGAAGCCTCTACATGTTTAATTTTACCATGATTGGTATGTCACCTTCCGAATTTTAAGAATAGACCAATAACTTCAGTAGAGACAGTAAAATGTAGGAGCCTTGCAGTTGACAAAGCTGACTTTAAGATTCAGATTCCTATGAATGAACCAGGTCCCTTTGTTGTAAGTTTTAGCCATTTAACTGCCACATGAATCTAATGAAATTGTCAGGTTATAGTAGTTACGTCAGTAATCTGATATGTTGTCACTTGAATGGACCATGTGTGGAGAGTCAGTTACTTCTCTCTGTGGGGCTGACCCTTTTTCATTCTTGAAGACTAATAGCACTCATTAAGCTTTATGGGAAAAGTGCTTTTATCACTTGTCAAGCCAGGCAGCGTATTTCCATTATATTTCTAATTCTGTGTAGCTCTGTGTAGCTGCTGGTGTACACTTCCCTGCTAGTTTTAGTGGAACTTTTGCCTTATAGACATTTTTATTGACATTTCTGAGTCTGAGTTAAATTTTGTGTGGCACCACTTACAGATGTCTTCAATTAAATGCAGGTATATAAACGGGATTATGTATCAGAGGTCAAAAGATTCTTGACATTCTCTTTAGAGTCAGATTTTGCCAGCCAATCCAGTAGGCTGTGGTCTCCATGTTGTGTTTGGAGAACAGAGAGGCAGCTGTAGCACAAGTTAACACACTTCTCTTCCGGTGTGTTCTTCTATTCCTTTATTTCAGATTCAAGTCCTCTCTCTTAAGAGTTATAATAATTACTTAGTGAGAAGCTAGCATCTGTAATATCCATGATTATACTTATCACATTCTTTATATTAATTCTCACAGAATACCTCTTATGATGAAAACTGATCCCAGAGAGATAGATCAGACTAGCTAGGTGCTGAGAACCACAGCCAACAGTACGGGACAAGGAAAGCAGTGTAGGAAGAAGGAGGTAGGATGACACTGCTGTGAGATGCTGGCATTCAAGACTCTTACTTGAAGGAAGCTAGAAATCAGATGGATTTAGTGAACTTCAGAACAGGATTTATGGACCTTTGCATTATGGGCATCTCGGGCTTTGCTGTGAGGAGAGGCACCTATCCTGGTTAGAAGCTCAGCTGCATCTCTAGCCTCTGCCCACTAGATGCCAGTAGCACCCTCTTCACCACTGTGACAAGCACAGAGCTGTAGATGACGGACTACATTATGCAATGTGCGTAGGAAGAGAGAGTTAATGAGCCAATAGTGAAGATAAGATACAGTGATAAAATGTTTTCAGTTCAATGAAAGATAAGAAAAAGTAGGAAAAGTGAAAAAAAAAGTAAACAGGACAAATATAAAAAACTATAAGACCAATGGAAAGATGGCCCTCTTAAATCCAGTTAATTATTGATTTAAGTATAAAAGCCTAAATCAAACTTGACTACATAGGAAATTTTATCTTTGCATTGTTCCAAACTATCTAACATAGCTACTGTATTACATTTGACTTTTTCAGATTTTTGTTTTAGTTAAATTTGAACAGCTACTTGGCCTGTGGTTATACTATGAGCAGTGTGGGCCACATACTCCTATTAAACATTAGAGATTATCAGACTAGACATAAGAATACAAACAAGCTCTACCCTTAAATGTGAAAATGTGGATGACTTGGAGGTAAAAGGTTACAGTAAGATGTTCCCATGAATATTTACTGTAAGAACATTTAAATCAGACAAAATAGTCTTCAGGATGGAAACAGAACAGAAGGATGCTTCATAATGAAAAAAAAAAGTCAAGTATATTCTAAAATGTGATCCATTCAAAATAAAAGCCTCAAAATAAAGATTAAAAATTAAAAGACATGAAGGGAAAAATAGTCAAATTCAGTGACAGTTAAAGATTTTAGGATAAT